GGATGAATATTGAAGGGAAATGTGATGATCATAGTGTTCTGAGACATTTTAAACAGTTTCTTGAAGGAAGTGCCCTAGGGCTAAAGGTTTTTAGCATTCAGGCAATTTCCCAGGAAATTATAGCTATAAAAAATAGTTTGATCAAGAAACTTTTTGGATCTTTCATTTGGGTGCATGGTCACCAAAGGGATTAGGTGAAGCAGTTCATATAGGTACTGCGATTTTATGCGGGTCTTTTTATTAAACAATTTTTCATATCATGCACGCATAAAACATTTTGTTTAAAACGTGTGCTTTATGGATGAACTTCAGCACCCAGTTGTTCTATAGCCCCCAATAACATACCTGCTGTAGAGTACTTTCTATATGACATCATTGTATATGGCCCAACATGTTCAAAATTACATTGAATCTGCGGGGAATCTCTCGAAATGCTGCTTTAGATAAACTCAGCTGTCATTTCAAGTGGGACTACTGCCTGATCCTAAACATGGGAGAGATATGATACAATCACCTAGTCCACCTGATGTTCAGACCTTACGTTTTTACTCTGGTCTTACTTCAAATGTATTCCTAATTATGTCAGAGACTGCCCAGCACAGCTTTGCAACAGTTAGGAAGCTCAATGTAAGCAGTCCAGCACTAGCAATATTTGATCCTTCTCTACCTACTATTGTTACTACAGATGCTGCAGATTATGGCCATGGTGTGGTTCTTTCATGGTGCAATGCAAACCAGGTAGAGAAAACTGTTGTTTTTCTTCTATGAGGGTTCTGGATGCAAAAGTGAAAGTATTCTATTCTGTAGAAAAAGAAGCCATAGCACATATTTGGGCAAAAGAAAAATGGACAATATACCTGTGGGGTTAAAAAGTTTACCTTGCAGACCAAACGTATTTCTTTAACTACGCTACTTACAACAAAGGGAAAAGGGCGAGAGCGGGAATGTGTATAGCTAGATGTTCAGCAAGATTACAAAGTTCTAACCATACAATATCATACAAATCGAGTTTGGAATATGTTTTTGCAGTGTCATTATTTTCATGGCCACCCTTACCCGCAGCTCTTGTTGCACAGGATGAGGATGTTGAAGTTGTTGTATTTTCCCATATACAGGTATAATATAAAACTCGAATAATTAGAATATCGTGCAAAAGTAATTGCAGTACTTGCTGCAAAAGGGGCCCAAACCAAGTACTGAGTACATATGCATGCTTGTACTTTTCAGAGGTCCGATATTGTTCTATGTACAATCCTTGTTTTATTGATTGCATGTAATAATCTACTTTTTTGAGGTTGTGGATTTGGGGTTCTTGGGGTTTTCATGAGCTGTACGTTATAATCATCACAATTATGACAAATCACGGCTTGAACTATCTTGCTTTGCATGTAATGAGTCTATCTCATATATTAGTTTCACCTTTTAAGTTGCATTAGTGAAATAAATGAACTTTGCACGATATTCTAATTATTCGAGTTTCACCTGTAGATGCAGCTACAGCATGTGAGTTCAAACAAGCTTGTCCGGCATGCCCAGTACAAGTACAACTATAGGCCATTCTACAAAGCAAATTACTAAACTCAGAAAATACACTGAGCTATTTTAAGACCTTACTACAGGATTAGATACACATTTTCTTTAGTTGGTGGTTATATGTTTCATCTAAGTTTGAATTCTTCCTGCAAGAGAGAAATCTTGTACATAGGATATCCTCAATTTTTTACCCACAATCAAAAGGAGAGATTGAGAGAAGCCTTACAGAAGCTCTCCAAACTGCAAATCTTACATCTTGGAAAGTTTGTACAGAGCACCTAGACATGCAGCTACAGGAGCAACGCTAGCTGAACTACTACATGACAGATAAATGCACACTAAACTACATTTGCAGACATACAACTGCAACATGTGTCCAGTGCCTCAAGGCTGTTAAAAAACCGACAAGATAAAAGTAAGGCATGTACTGATCTGAAATAATGTGCCAGAAGTACATTTTCAGACAGCAGCTCTAGTTAGAAAAAAAAAAAAACTGGCTTCTTGAAACAAGGGCATTCCAAATTTTCCAATCCACTTTGAGTGATGTCATTAGGACCCTACACCTATGAACTGCCTGGTGATATGGAATGCCAGTTGTCTTGCGTCAGTTAGGCAGGACTTGAAGAAGGGCATTTTTCGATTCTTACTGATAAAAACCTGTGTGGACCAAGGAATATGTGGTGTAATTCAAATGGATGGTATTGTTTTGTGATATAATTCTGCACATACTGTATTTGGCGCTGTAATCACAGCGCCACCTGTCTCAGCTGTCACTTACTGAAGTTTCTGTCACATAAACTATGACAGAAACGGCCTGCGTATGGAGCGCAAAATACGGTAGTTGTTTGTATTTATTAAGATTGAGGAAAAAATATTTTTTTGTCCTAAGAGTAGTGTGCAAACCCCTGGCCTGTAGATGTCACTGTTTACAGTTGTTACATGTATAATGCTTTCTATTTAATACACAACTTAGTTTCTATTCCTGTTATGGTATACTCATGAATGCCTGTAACAAACACTGTCATTATTTTGCCTCCCAGACTACTTGACACAACAAAATATCAGTTGGTTCATACATGTCAAGCAACATACTACTGTAAACAACACAGCAAACAATTCATGTAGTTCAATATAACATTCAGTATAATGCATAGAGACTGTAGAGCTGTAATTTATCTGGATGACTATGGCTTATGCAAAAGTTGAAGGCCGAAAAATGTTTCGTTTTTTTTGGATGAATCGAATTAAGGAAGTCTTTGCTAGAGTGAGGATGTGTTTTTATTGCTGTGTGCGTCCCTGTTAGGGCACTAAAATTTTTAATTTCAGTGACCGTTGTTACCCGGAGATAAAGTAATGGGAAATCCAAAATTCTACAGTTCCCATAGGAACAGGATGTGAGGGGGAATCTTCAAATGGGGACACCGCTTCTGGTGACAAGAGCTTTACTCTTATCTCCTGTTGTGTTCCTGGGCCAGAAAGTGAAGTGACAGGATGAAACAGAGCAAAATGGAAAAAACCTTTCACACTTTTTACCATTACTTACTTCATCCATAACCAAGCAAGTTTTGGCTTTACATGCATTTAAAACCAATTAGTACTGTTTATAGTAGACAGAGCTTACATAAATACATTCCCATTGTCTCATAAAACTACCATTTTAGCATTGTACAGGAACATAAATTGTGGTGTGTTACGCCACAATTATTTTTATTCTCACTCAAAATTATCACAGTCCTTGTACTCTATGTCTTTCCTGTCTCTCAAACATGATAGACTTTCACAGCTAAGCTTCATTATAATTGCCAAGATATCAGTCCTCATCAGTCAATGACTGAAGTTAGCCATGTGTCTATTACACCCAAGTCGACTAAACCACACACTTATCCTATGAGTTTCAGGTCACTACTAAAATCTATTATCTGTCTTAATGACCAAGGAAACATGTGGGTCCCGAGGTTACACAGGTTGAGAACCACTGATCTGGATTATGAATGATGTATGTGCAGTGCTGCTATTACATTGGTAAGGAACATCTGTACATATCTCAATTTAAGAGGTCTGTGAACAAGAATAGGTATATGCAAGGAACTATCTGAGGCCTTTATCACTTTTGGGGGGTAAAGGAGTGAACAGATGTCACCAAGTGGACATCAAAACATTGACATTGTAGTGATATGAGGGTACAGCATCACAATGGTTTAGATAAAAAAATAGCACTGTTATGGTATTTATGTATCATAACCTTGGTATGACCCCACCTTTAATGATCCACCTCAATGGATGGATAACTTGTGTGACCTACCCTTTATTTTTATTGTATAGGTTGAACTGTGCATCAAAAATTTTTCATGTATAAAACCTGTTGCGCTACTGTGGCATGTGCAGCACTTTCTTCTGTAACCACACAGTGCATGATCATAAATAATGAAAAACCTGTAAGGTTTCACACTTTACTTTTGTTAACGGAAATATACAGATCATGTTGCGTTATATATCAGACTCAAAATGGTTCCATTTTCACACATCATTGCTGCAAAAATATTTTCCGATACAATCTTTAGTATGACAAAAGGAGCACACAACAAGAACAGAAGAAAAGCACATACGGTTTATTATGAATATTTACAACTTTTCCACATCACTGGATGAAATGTTCAGCATATATTAAATAAATAGAAAATCTATAAGGTAGACAATGAAATGCGGCGACGTATAAATTGCTATTTTAAGAACCAACATGATTTTACTAAATTGTCTGTAAAATAGCTGGTTGCTCTATACCCTAAAGATGGAATACTCATATATCAGTAAAAGATCAAACCACGTGTCCTGTGTGGTATCTGGGCAAAGAAATGTGGTGTGATGATTATATAACAAAAACCATGTGGTAGACTGATGTTTTATAGCAAATTATCATATGCATTATGTATTAATTGGCCATATGCAACAGATCTACCTGCTTCATAAACCATCCAAGTTCACAAAACTGTCACAAAACCACACATTCTGCTTATATTTATATCTGAGGTCCATTTTATCCTTGCCAAGCCCACCATTTTTGTGATATGTTGTGTTAGGGATATCACAGTGATTACCAGTACAGAATCTTTATAGTTTTGGTTGTTGCTTGATATTCAGGAACCTGGAATGATCACCAGTAACTTCTCCTAACTTTTTCTAAACAGATATTTTAAAAAAAATTAACCTTTACCCTTCTTGACCCTGGCAATGTAGACTTTGCCTGCCTGAAGCATAGGTGCAAAGGTGTTCTTATAGGATAGGGTTAAGGTCAAGGAGTATTTTTATAAGTAAATCACAGACTTGGTAACATCACTCCAACTACAGGATGTTTATGGCACTGCCACTGAAACATCCTATGAATGTAGCATTCTTCAGTAAAACTTCCATCACTGTGGTAGTTATCCAAGGCTGTTCCTACATTTATTGAATAAATACAAGTTTCCTTTCTTTCATCTGGTCTCCTTTAAGTAGTATGTGCTGTGAAAGAAAGCATCCTAGTGTATATGTGTGCATTTACAATGGTATACACATCAACAGCACTTTTCCTTATTCTGAATTCCCAAAATACAAGTGCAAGAAAGGTTTTCTTAGTTCAATGACTGTAGTATTTTATGCTAAACCTACAATTTGACTGGATCTAAAGGACGTTAAAACTATTTCTAGTATAGAAGCAAGAGAAAAAGCAGAGGATAAGAAATTCAAAGCCTTGTAGCAGTCATCAGTAGCCTTCTTTAGTGCCTCAATGAGAAGCAGCATTGACCATACAAGTCTATTCATCTCCTTCATCCAAAAAATAAAGCTAAGAGCACCAGTTGGTGGAAAATTCCTTGTTTATATGTCATTTAAAGCATCAGGAATATGGACATCTAGTTCCTGGTGCTTTGGGGGGCAAATGCCCATTGTAACTTACAACCCAGTAAACTTCTATGATATGCCTGGAACGGCAGCCAAATACTGAACGTCTGAAATGAAAGGGGTGGGGGAAGATAAGCAGAAATAAAACAACATTTCTCTTTTTAGTCTCCAGTTTTAGTAATTCCAGTTGAAGGATGCGTGCTTGTTGATGTTCTTAGTTGCAGTCGTAAACAAAATCGTAGTTACTAGGCTCCTTTGGAATTGGGGGAGGTGCATCAGGAATTTGTATGTTTTCCAGGTCTAGAAGGCGCAGTTTTATTTCCATGCTAAGCAATGTGTCCATGTCAGTTCTTGTTTGATCACTGATCATTTCCTTTCCAAGTAAGGCATTAAGTCCATCTGTCCATATGCAATACTGTGCAGAAAGAAAAACACAAGTATGAGTTGAAATAATAATGATTTACACATCGTTCAAAAGAGGATGACAGATCTTGTGTACTTTGGCTGGCTTCATTTGAGAGACAAAGTGTTAGTTGACTTAAAAGTAAAATGTTAATTATTGATGGAGCCTGGTAGACCAATTCAGCTCCCAACCTCTTATCTAGAGTAAGGGAATAGCTTGGCCTTTTTTATGTACTGGGGACATTAGAAGATCAAAGTGATGTCAAACTCCTAATCCTCCTGGTTCCTTATCAGTGACTCAAAGTATGGAAAGCCTAGAGATCACCATGGCTGCCATGCAGTTTGCATTTTCAGAAAGAGAGGTCAGCAATAGCAGCCTACATATCATCTTACTATGGGTTCTCATTAAAGCAGAACTGCAAGTTTGGTTATAAAATTAAAATCTCCCCCCTCTCTGTGCAATATGCAAAATATAACGCTTTTTTTTTCTAAGTGGCATGTAATAGAGAGGAATAATAGAGCTGGCCATACATTGGTAGATTTTCTTATGAACATTCAAATGAAGAATCCCACTCACATGCTTACTACAGTATCGTACCCTCTATTGCCCAATTCTGATCCGTCTCACAAACCATTCATGTCGATCACCTGAGTTCAAGTTCTTACAAGTGTAAATTGTTACCCATACATCAAATATTCTGGAATTTGAACTGTAACTGTCAATTTACACACTTTTGGTATAAAATGGCTTAGATCCCTGACATGAGATTATATAGCTTTGTAATTTCGTTATGTTTTTAATGCATTGTATAATTTTTCAAGTACTATGTTGACTCCTTTTATTAGGAGTCTTATTTTAATCTATGTCTTACACTTCTGTATTGCCATAAAAATTGCAATAAAAATGTACTTGCTTAAAAAAAAGAATCCCATCAGAACATTCGATAATGCCATCAATTACTTTTTGTTTGATAAGTTATTTGATTTTAACATTCAATTTTGGAATGAATTGAGTTTAATACATCAAACACATTAAAATATATACCCCAAATAGCCATGCTGACCTATTTCTACTTGAATATTTAACCAGGAAAATGTTTATTTCACGTATTTAGCTGAGAAGGAGATTTATAGGAGATAATTCGGTGCGGAGAACCCTGAGGAGGTACGTTATGGAAGATGCTTGAATGAGAGGTCATGCACTGAAGCTGGAGATTGGTGTAGTCACATGGGACTGAGGAAAATCACTTTATTGAAAGCTTAGTGAGTAAGTGAAATAACCCTTTGGCACAGAGGCAGAAGCAGAAAAATGTGATATATCAGCCTTTACAAATGTTCATAACCCAGTTATAGTGTTATTTTACTCATTTTTTTTAAAGAAAGAACAGATTATTGGGTACAATTATATTTCATAGAAAATCATATAAGAAGCAAAGATTAAATAAGCATAGAGAAAGTCCATAGTATATCAGTGCACAAATATAACAGCGTATCATTCACAGGTATGGAAACATGAGAGAAGGCAGACATCCTAAGAAGATGTGCTAAATATACATTTGTATAAGGGAATGACTTTCCACTTTTGCAGCCAGTTTGGGATAACACCTATTTTATATTTGTTACATGTTCTCATTGACATAGCAAAACTTTTTTTATTAAAAAATTATGCTTACAAATAACTTTTCTTAGATTACTAGTTCTCTCTGAACTAAATTTTCCTCTGGAATGCAAGGGGGTGGGGAAGTTAATTAACCCTGCCTGTACTGTGCTGACAGATCTCATTATCAGTTGTAAAGTAGATTTGATCACTGTCTGCCCTAACAAACTGTTAATGAGGGGAAGCCCAGAGTGCCCCTAGTCTTTCTATGCGGACATACAGAGTTTCCTGCCACTGTGAAATTGTAGAGGGAATCCAAATCCTTCTTAGCAGAGACATCTAAAAGGCTAACAAATAGTTTTCTTATGTTAGGTTTGTGGTGTGCATCAAAACACGTAACCAAACATATAGTGGGGGTTTTCTCAAATATCACTGCAAAAGTGGAAATACAGCATGTGGACTTTTCAAATCTTTCAAGATATATAACTCTAAAGAAAGCTTCAGCAGCCTTACACGTCCACCACTCCATTTTCCAGTCCACACTAAGCAATAATCACATCACAGGTGCAGGGAAAACATTCACACCTCCAAGGTATAATTCTTCTTATAAACAAGCTGCACATGGATCTTCATAAGTTAAAGCAACTTTTATTGATATATCAAATATATACTGTGAAACAAAACTCCAATGTGTATAACACCTCTCATGCGTTTCACCCCGATCTGGCTTAATCATAGAGGCCTCTATGATTAAACTAGATCAATGAAACGCGTGAGAGGTGTTATACACATGGGAGTATATATTCATTATATCAATAAAAGTTGCTTTCACTCATGAAGATCCATAGATATGCGGCTTGTTAGTAAGAAGAATCTAAAGAGAGCTTGATGAAAATAAACAATATGAGGTAATGTTTTAAAACTATTCTTCTATGTGTAAGTGAAAAAAAAGGTGAGCGAGCATTGGCAACCTGAGTCTGAAAGTGTGTTAATTGCATAAACAATCAGGTGGAAAAAAGCTTAAATGACTGCTTAGCTGCACTAGATTACATTTTTGGGGGAGGGTTTAAACCTGCTTTAGTATAATACAGAGTCTTGTAGCTGTCCTCAAAGAAAGACTCAAAAATACTCAGAGCTTCCTCTCATTAACATTCAATGACTTTAACCCTTTGTTGGGACAAATCGTGCTAAAATCTAATTTAATACTGATAATGAGATCAGCAGTGCACACAGTCCACCACTCCATTTCCCAGGCCACACTAAGCAATAATCACATCACAGGTGCAGGGAAAACATTCACGCCTCCCCCTCCAAGGTATAATTCTTTTTATAAACAAGTCTATTAGGCTAAAGACTAACTTAAGCCCCTCTACCTCCTTGCAATCGAGAAAAAAAAATCGTTCCGGAAAGAGAAGGTAATAGGTGAACAGCAATTTTAAATGCCATTTTAATTTTATGCCATTTATAGATTTTATATTTAGACTATGTGGATGAGAACATGTCCCAAATATGAAACAGGTGTCATCCCAATTTGGCTGCAAAATGGAAACACACTTGACATATCAACATAATAATGTGTCTATTGTTTTCAGTCAAGTCATATTAGACCTAAAAATCACTGAAAGTGCAGTAAAGGACAGGCATTGCGCAGCACTTGTTTGTGACTAGACAGAGCTAGGCAACTAGCACTTTCTAAAGGTGTCCAGCAATGGCAATCCCCATAATGCTCTCGTGAGAAATGTACCAAATGTACCCAGAGAGCGTTGGTGTCTAGATGCCCAGGTCATTATAATAATTTAACAATAACAATTCAAAATATTGTAGGAGCCCAATTGCAATTGGTTATTTTTAAGGCAGTAGTATTCGAACTATGGGTCACAATTCAAGCAATCAATTTATGGATGCACATATGAAATAAAATGTTAATTCTGCTGGGAAATGACAATTTTTGAGGCCCCAGAGCAACAAAGAAGTTTTTGTGCCCCTTGAAAAGTGAAGTACTATTTCCTGAAGCCCCTACATAAAAAAGTTGAATTTCTAAGTAGCACTCTACTCAATCGAAATGTGAACATGGTCTCTTTTTGCTCCTGGACGTACCTATCCTCGGATCAAAGTAAGCACATTTAAAGTTCATACCTTCAACCTACTAATATACCTTTCTTAGGGTTGGTTGTGCCTTATCAAAATGCCAGCTTCTACAGTAAATTGAGCACTGGAGCAATGGAAATATGTTGCGAGCCTCCCCTATGCTGGATTACATTTTTGTTAAACATTCAGAGTACCCAGGTTCCTCCATCTTTGCATCTGTGTGCCAGAACCCCACAATTGGACAGTTATAT